TTCGCAGCAACTTGCAGCAGCAGCAGCAACATCAGCACGTGGGGGATACGACCCGTCACTTCTGACCGCTGTCTCAGCCACGGGGACAAGGGACATGAGATCTCCCGTCAAGCGACCTCCCAGGTAACGGCGGACGAGCAGTCTCAAGTCGTGCGTAAAAACAAATAAAAAAACTAAAAATTTGTCTAAAACCCGGCGCGCTCCCCCCGGATTCTGCGCCGCGCCTCGCGATCCGATTCGGGCCGCCGATCCCCGGGCGCGAATGCGCCGCGGATCTTCAAAGCCCAAATGCGTCTCGGAGGTGAACGATCTGAAGTTGAAGGCGTGGGTGGAGTGGGAGCGTGCCTCGCTCGGCGCGCGGCGGGTAAAACGAGTCCGTGATGCGCTGCTGCTGCTGCTGTTGCCGCTGTTGCCGCTGCTGCAGTTCACTCGACGCCGCACTTTGAAGTTCATCATCAGCGCGGCGATGCGCTCACGCAGCGAGCCCGTTGCGTTCGCGCTGCTGTGCCTGCGTGTCAGTGCGGGGGTGCGTCTTATAATCCGGTAGTTAAACACTACGTGGTGAATCTGCTTGCCGCCGTTGACGGTGATGCACAACCACAAAGCGAAACAAAATATCTCAACGCGTTCAGTGTCAAATAACACCGCGGACTTCAAAACAAAACTAAATTAAATATAGGCGACGTATCGGGCGATGGTACTATGAAGAAGGGTCAATGCCCGAAACGTCGTCTATTATATGTTTGTCATTTCAGGCCACGGTGTTATATACAATCCGCTAGACGTGTGTGTGTGTGTGTGTTGAGGGTGGGGAGCGGTGGTGCAGTGGTTAGCGCTACGTTGCACTACGAACCCAGCGACCAGGGTTCGATTCCCGCTCACGGCCAACACCGGTGACGAGTATCTATCTGAACCGGTCCTGGGCCTCGCCTAGGTCGACTCAGCCTGGTGCGCTGTGTAAAAAAAAAAGTCGCCGCTTGGGAGACAAAGGCGACCGCGCGTGGTGCTCGCACACACCATCTCCTCGTGCGCCGCTGAGGCCTTCATCGGCGATGCTCGCTAAGGGCACACGGTCCAACAGTCTGGGCTACACAGATTCTCTCTCTGTCTCTGTGCATGAAGACCGCCGTGTCTTGAGGCGCTTGCTTCAGAACCCAGCCTCAAGAGCTTGTCAAAGGTTGTAAGGAGATGTTGTGTTTGTTTGTTTGTAGAAAGAACTCGCTCGCCTAAGTTCGACCCCCCCCCCCCCCTCGTGGTTAACATCGCTGCCGAGTGGACATTGATCCGGTCCTCGGTAACCTGGTGCCGTGCATAAACATCGACACACACGAGAGACAAAGGCGGCCGGGAAGGGTTCCATCCTCGCGTACCGTGACCGCCTTAATAGGTGCTCGCCGACAAGCCCCGACAGCCTGTTCCAGGGTGGTGTTAGGGGGGTGGGGGGCCCAAACTTTGACGCGTCTCGGTGACGAACCTCCCTGCGCTCCGTGAGGCTTCACGTCCCGCGCGTGTGCAGGACGCGGAGCGCTTCGCACCGCCGATCGAGTCGACGAATCCGTGGATGCGACGCGAGTGGGAAGTCCTCTCCGAGCGTGTCCTGGCCCCCGGCGAGGTCGTCTCGGCCTCAGCGCAGCTACTTATTCCGCTGCGCGAACAGCGATCGCCACCGGAGGGGCAAAGGCGGGCTGGCGTGTTGCTGTTCGGCTGCCCATTATCTCACACTTCGTTAACCCTGACGGCGCTTCAAGGTTTGCTCGCTATCAAGCACTCAAACCAACGACAGCCTCGCAAAGCATGCGCGGCAGATCCTCATCTCTCTGTGTGTGTGTGTGTGTGCAAATAATGCACACAAAATTTGCACACACACACACACATCAGTGGAAGCTGATGTCTGAACCTGTTCTGTCATTCCGCTCGGTCCACTCGGTCCGTAATGAACACTGAATTACGATTCGTAAATGGACATCAGCGCTGCAAAGACACGGGCGGATCGGGTGTTGGTAATTGTCGTCACTTACTCCCTTTGTGTGCCATATCGGCCTTAATATATGCTTGCTCATAACATATATCCGTGTGTGTGTGCAGGAGTATGTGCAAACAAGGTGCACACACACACACGTGCAAGCGTGTATCGGTGGCGAGTGATAGCTGAAACCGGAGTTGCGTCTCACCTTGGGGCGACGGGGCCTTAAAGTAACTGGCACTGCAGGTGCGGCGTGTAGCCATCGGAAGTGGGGGATACAAATACGGTCGGGACGTATAGCTGGGCCACACCGCCTCTTCCGTGTACCTTAACGACCTTCAAATGCGTCGCTTACACTGCCTCCCCCCCCCCGCACAAACTACGCAGGATATCATATTCTTGGGTCTTTCGGTAAAGTCACGTAGATAGGTTCTAAATAAAATAACAAAAACTACGACGTTTCGATCGCAACACAAGCAATCGTCATTTGTTTTCTTCTCCTGATGACGACTGCTTGTTTTTGCAATAGAAACGTCGTAGTTTTTTGTTATTTTCATTGAACCTATCGACTTTACCGAAAGACCCAAGCATGTGAATTCCTGCAGTCGCGAACGCTTTGAGTCACGATTTTACGCAGGAGATTATTCAGAAGTGGCAGGCGGTGTAACTGCACCGTGCCCCACGATTCAGAGACACTCAGTACGCCGGGCTAACTGGAGTGCAGGGTGGGGGGATGTTGAACTTGGAGCAGTGGGGGGGGGAGGGTATTGTACTCATTGCCCCAGGGCCCATGCCAACCACGCGACATCGCTGCTATAAATACCTCGGCTCGATGGGAGGTCGCTCCTTCTCATCTGCTGCCCCCAAAATATAGAATATCCCACCTCTCACCCTCCGTCCGTGCTGTCGGCTCACTGCCGATGTTCGAGTCTATATCCTTCTCTTCTGCGTCGGGCTGCCCCGTCTCTCGTCCAGTAAAGACAACAGACAAAGATCCCCCGTGTAGCCTGAACAGACTGTCGGGGCAAGTGCTGTTCGCGAGCGCCTATGAAGGCCGGCCAAGGCACACGAGGGGATGGGTGGCCAACAACACGCCCGGCCGCCTTTGTCTCTCTCATGGCGATGTTTACACAACGCACCAGGTACTGTATTCACTTGAAGCTGAGTTTACCTAGAGGAGGCCCAGAAAACGGCTCAGATATTTGTCAGCGATGTTGGCCGTGAGCTGGAATTGAATTCGTGCCGACGGTGTTCACAGCGCATTGCGATAACCACTGCGCCACCGCTCCCCAACCCGTGAGCCCGCTCTATATACATACACACTACCATCTACAACTCGACGTAGACACACAAGTCATGGGTACAGCACTTTCCACAAAAAGTCTGCGAAGGCTATATGGGAGATCTTTGTCTTGGTACCCGGTCTCAGTGCACAAGTGGTTTCGCCGCGCACTCCGTCTGAGAAATTACGTAACAGGGGCGAGAGGGAAGCCTTCAGAGTTAAAGGCGCAGCCCTGCAATGGCTTTCTCCCGCCGCTGCTGGCGGAAGGTTCTCCCACTCGAGCCAACTCCCCAGAGAGATAAAGAGCGCCTCTACGATGATACATTGGCCTACTCTTCCACGCTGCACCCATACGTCTCGGTAGAGGAGAGTTCTTAAAGCGCGCATCAACATTTCGATTTAAAGCTTTCGTGACTGCAGGGATTCATCTTCTTGGTTCTTTCGGTAAAGTCACGTAGAAGGGAAATAATAAAATAATAAAAATAAAACATAATAAATTACGATGTATTGCCCCAAACCTCGCTCGCTTCTCCGTGGTCGCGTGCGGAAGCGCCTCGAGTCGATTTGTGGTCTCACCCCCCCTCCCCTCCCCCGGCCCCAGCGTCTCCGCTTTGGCACTCTGGCACAGGGTCCCCCACTCTGGCACGCCCCCCCCCCCCCCCCCCCACCACCACCACCATAGCCGTCTCTGCTTTACTGCGGCGGTCGAGAGTACGCGCCGAGGTGGAGTGACGAGCAGCGCTGCGCTCCGCTGCTCGAGCTGCTGCGTCTCAGCGGGTCGCGGTGCTCGAGGCACCTGGGGCAGCTTGTCCCCTCCGCGCACGGAATGACGGGAGCGGCCCACGCGGGGCTCTGCGCAGCGTCAATTCTCACGCGGGGTGGACAATTGGTAAAGGGGCCGTCCGTAAATGACGTCACGCACCTCTAGGGGGGGGGGGTCAGACATTTGTGACGATGTGTGACGAGGGGGGGGGGGTCCAAAATCATCCAAAATTGTGTGACGTCATTTATGGACGGCCCCAAAACCGATAGCCGCGTGGGATGCGCGTCACCTGGTGCAGCGTCGTGCGAGCGACGGCTGCGTTCTGCAAGTCGGATGCTGAACACAATGAGTATCTGTAAAAAAAGAAAAAGAGCTTTATCGCTCATCGGATTCCTCCGGTATGAATGCATATTGCGATTCAATGCAGTCAGCTTCAAGCATGCTGGTGATAATAATTATGATGATGATTGGATCATGATGATGACAATGTTGACGTACATAATACCTGGAAGAATGTGAATGTCACTGCTGCTGATATGCACACAATGCCTTCAGGAATAATGATGATGATTATCATAATGACGAACAGCGTGCACATCCTTTGGATGTGACCGTCCGTCCCTACCTCCCTCAGCTCACCAGCCAGCAAAACTTTTTTTCGAATATAGCTATGACGATGATGATGCACGCAATAGGCTACCTGCAGGAATATGGATAAGGACGATGATGCCTGCCGCTGCAACTGCAGCTGATGATGATAAAATGCAACGCTTCCGCTGTTGCTCATGATGCTGCTTCTATTGCTGCTGCTGCTGCTTACAATGACGACGACGATGCTGATGTGTGGACTTCGTCTCCTGTTGCTACAGGTGCCGCACCTTCTCCTCCGCGCGTCGACCGAACAAACGAGCACGTGCCGCCTCGGCGTGAAGAGCCCGGACGAGGGCGGGCACTGCGACGGCGGAGAGACGACGGCCACCCCCGACGCCAGGATGCCGCTCCTGTCCGGCGTGAGCGAGAGCCGCCCGCGCGCATCCATCAGCCCTCTCCTGCCGTCTCCGCTCGACTTGCCGCTGAGCCCCTGCGGGTCCCATGCGGACAGCAGCCCGGTCAAGGGCCTCTACTACCGACTGCTCGCGCCCAGGAGACGCGCCGACCTGCTGGTGAACGTGGGCGGCCTGCGTTACGCGTTCGCGTGGACCGACCTCGAAAGGTTCCCCCTGAGCCGCCTGGGCAGGCTGCGAGCGTGCAGCAATCGCGAGGACATCCTGGCGCTGTGCGACGACTACGACGTCTCGCTCAACGAGTTCTTCTTCGACCGAAACCCCGGCGCATTCAGGGCCATCATGACCTTCCTGCGCGCGGGCAAACTGCGGATACTCGGCGGCGTGTGCGTGCTGTCGTTCCGGGAGGAGCTCAGCTACTGGGGCGTGGAGGAGAACAACTTGGAGGTGTGCTGCCTGAGCCGCATCCTGCAGAAGGACGGCGAGATGCAGCAGCAGCAGCAGTGCGACGAACAAGACGGCATCGGCGGTGACGCTGACGAGGCCGCCGCCGGCGCCGAGATGAACGGCGACGACGACGTCTTCGGGGCGGATGACGCCGAGGGGATGAAGCTGGGCCGACCCACGCGCTGCGTGCGCGCGATGGGCCACCTACGGGACATGGTGGAGAACCCGAGCTCGGGACCCGCGGGGAAGGCGTTCGCCTGCATCTCCGTGGCCTTCGTGACCATCACGGCCGTGAGCCTGTGCGTGGGGACCATGCCCGAGCTCAGGGAGGAGAAGGTGTGACCCGCGTGCGTGCGCGTGCCCGTGCGCGTGCCCGTGCGGGTGCGTGCGTGCTCGTGTGCGGCGGAGCGGTAGCGCCCCGCGCGCTACGATCCCGACGGCACGAGTTCCAATCCCGCTCACGGCCAACACCAGTGACAATTATCTGAACCGGTTATGGGCATCCCCTAGGTCGACTCAGCCTCAAATGAGTACCTGGTGCGATGTGTAAACATCACCACTGGGGAGACAAAGGCGGCCGGGCGTGGTGCTGGCCACCCACCCCCTCGTGTGCCGTGCCGGCCTTCATAGGTGCTCGCTAACAGCACTTGCCCCTACATTCTGTTAAGGCTACGCGGGGGATCTTAGTCTTTGTTCAACGCTTGATCAACACGTGTGTTGGACTCGGCAAACGCTTCAGAACCTCAAAGAGCAACTTACTCAAACGGTCTGCTGAAGCCCATCCTGGATGTTCTTGTACTCGTGATAATCTCAGTCAGCCAATCGACACCACCCGGCTCGTGCCGTGTTTTCCTGCAAAGCGCACCTAGCCTGGAACAAGCGCCGTCCTGACGTCACCGCCACTTAGTGGGGCAATGTTAGCGTTGTAGCTGCTGCTTTTCTATGTACTCACGGCAAACTTCTTTCGCACCGTACGTAGCCAACCGTACTAATGGGAGGTGCGATTCGCGCACTGCGCTACGAACCCGGCGACCCGGGTTCGATTGCCGCTCACGGCCACTAACACCAGTGACGATTATCTGACCCATTTCTGCGCCTCCCCTAGGTCGACTCAGCCTCAAATGAGTATCTGGTGCGGTGTGTAATCATCGCCACTAAAGAGACAAAGGCAGCAGGGCGTGGTGCTGGCCCCACCCACCCCGTCCTGTGCCGTGACGGCCTTTGCTCGCTCACAGCAACTTCTGTCTCTGTATGTTAGAATATGAGAATATGTGTGAGAGAAACAACCATACTTCTCCGATTTATTAACCTGGTCATGGCCTATGGCCCCGGGTAAAGCTGCGTGGCCGGGAGTCAGAGCCATTCGCTTTACGGTGCGGCGGGGATGTCCTCTGGCCACGACACAGTTGAACGTATATTTCCACCAAGTAGTTTGGGAAACTTTTTCATGGCTGCACCAGAGGAATTTCCATCTGGTACAGAGACATTGGGAGGCTGATCGATGCCCTGGTGCGATCAAGGAATGTCGTCCTTCTGGTCAACCTTGTCGTGTATGCCGATGATCTGGTAATTGCTGCTCATTCTAGATTTGAAGCTTTCGTGACTGCAAGGATTCATACTCTTAGTTCTTTCGGTAAAGTCACGTAGGTAAAAATGAATTTTTTTTTAATAAAAAATAAAATAATAAAATCACGACGTTTCGGAGGCAACACAAGTCTCCGTCATCAAGTGGGACCGTCACAGCCAGATTTGTTTGCACCCCGTGCTCTTTTTTAGCACCCCCCCCCCCCTTCCAATACGTTATCATGTGCACCAACACGGACTTGCGCACAAACACGTCCACATCGACGCCTACGAGCACCTCGTGCTCTCTTTTAGCCCCCCCCCCCTCCCGATACGTTCCATTCATTGGCTACCACATTCTGATAAGCCCCCCCCCTCTCCTTCCCCCCCCAACTTGTATTTAAGGGCTTGCATCTCACTTGATGCAGCAAATCTGGCTGTGACGGTCCCACCTGATGACGGAGACTTGTGTTGCCTCCGAAACGTCGTGATTTTATAAAGTTATTATTTATTAATTTTAATTTCATTTTTTTACCTACGTGACTTTACCGAAAGAACTAAGAGTAATTGCTGCTCACTCTGAGAAACAGTTGGAGACTTCTTTTGAACCTGACGCGTGCCACTAAGAAGTACAGCCTTCCCATCGGCCTCACAAAAAACAAAGCACCTGCCTGGGTGTTTTATTTGATGTCATCCTCCAGGCACCGGGACAGTTTGCTTCTGACAAACTCCAGTATCGCAGCAGAGATCTCGCTCTGAATCGATTAAGCGGTTTAATATGTTGAGATGTGTAACGCTGTGTGGAAGTAATCTGGCATATTGCTCCACGTGAAGCTCGGAGTTTTCACGTCCACAGTTGTACTCTCTCTTCTTCGTGCTTGCAAAACATAGATCGCGTTAAAGTAACATCTGCACCGGCTTGAAGCGTTCAAGCAAGACAGCCGACAATCAATCCTGCATGGGTTAAACCAGAATGGATTGTGAGAGGAACTCACAGATCCCTGAACGCTCTGGACACATTCCTATCCGTGAGCTCTTACGACAGGCGAGGCAGCGTTGGCTGGGTCATGTAGCCCGCATGCCCAAGCAGCTTGTTGGGCCAGAGAGAGAGAGAGAGCTAAACGGGTGCGACGTGGGCGAGAGAAGAAATTGACTGATGCGGTACAGGAGGAAGTGGAGCTAGTTTGACATGCTGATAACTGGTACCATCGGTGTCAAGATCGGCCTCTGTCGGGGAGGCTCAAAAAGGACGCTGCTGGGCAGTTGGAGGCAGTCACTCTCCAATAACGGAGGGCAGAGGAGGAACACTCACAACAACGAGCGGAGAGCCTGGTGGATAAAACGCAATTTGGAATAGTGGGGAGCGCATGTGGTGCATCTGCCACTCAACTTAGCCAGTCAACCCATGGCACCTGGGTCTGTCCCCTGACCTCCCGCCAGCGAATATTCGATACTTCACGTGGCCTCACAGTGCACCTAGCCTGGCACAAGCGCCGTGGTGACGTCGCCATGATGGCTGTTGCGTGAGAGAGTATCAGAGAGAGCTAAGTGGGGCGCGGTAGCGCTGCTGTGGTTAGCTGACTGTCGTAGCGCTGTGGTTAGCTGACTGTGGTAGCAGCTGTGGTTAGCTGACTGTGGTAGCAGCTGTGGTTAGCTGACTGTGGTAGCAGCTGTGGTTAGCTGACTGTGGTGGTGCTGTGGTTAGCTGACTGTGGTAGCAGCTGTGGTTAGCTGACTGTGGTAGTGCTGTGGTTAGCTGATTGCGGTAGCAGCTGTGGTTAGCTGACTGTGGTAGCAGCTGTGGTTAGCTGACTGTGGTAGCAGCTGTGGTTAGTTGACTGTGGTGGTGCTGTGGTTAGCTGACTGTAGTGGTGCTGTGGTTAGCTGACTGTGGTAGCAGCTGTGGTTAGTTGACTGTGGTGGTGCTGTGGTTAGCTGACTGTGGTGGTGCTGTGGTTAGCTGACTGTGGTGGTGCTGTGGTTAGCTGACTGTGGTGGTGATGTGGTTAGCTGACTGTGGTGGTGCTGAGGTTAGCTGTCTGTGGTAGCAGCTGTGGTTAGCTGACTGTGGTAGCAGCTGTGGTTAGCTGACTGTGGTGGTGCTGTGGTTAGCTGACTGTGGTAGCAGCTGTGGTTAGCTGACTGTGGTGGTGCTGTGGTTAGCTGACTGTGGTGGCGCTGTGGTTAGCTGACTGTGGTGGTGCTGTGGTTAGCTGACTGTGGTGGTGCTGTGGTTAGCTGACTGTGGTGGTGATGTGGTTAGCTGACTGTGGTGGTGCTGTGGTTAGCTGACTGTGGTGGTGATGTGGTTAGCTGACTGTGGTAGCATCTGTGGTTAGTTGACTGTGGTAGCAGCTGTGGTTAGCCCGCTTGCGCTACGATTCCCGGCGACCCCGCGCTGAATTTCCGCTCCCGGCTAATGTCATTGGCGAACATCTGAACCCGTGCTGAGCCTCCTTTCGATCGACTCAGCCACAAATAATGATTAACTGCTGCGGTGTGTAAGCATCAGCACATACACGTCAACCCCTTATCAGTGCCTACCATATTACACACCAATTCAGTCACCCCGTGCCCCTTATACATCTGAACGTTCATCCTACAAAGTGATAAACACAAACAAATAGACACATTTCTTAGCCCGTATTGAAACGTCTATACGCCGTATGGACCTGAAAACTCAATTATCCCCGTCCGAGAACACGGGGTTCATCCGTACGAGTTGACGCGGTATGTCAGCACCACCGGGGGAGACAAAGGCGACCAAGCGTGGCATTGCCGATGTGTCTAGACATCCCTTGGAGTTTCGCGTGTTAGTCTTTATAGGCGCTCGTTAACAAACGGTACTTGCCTTGACAGTCCATAAAGGCTACACGGGAGGGTGGGGGGGGTGGGATCTGTTTCGCCGTTGTTCGTGCGTGGTGTGTAATTGTAGCTGTGTGCGCGTGTGTGCTTACACTTCATTAACAAGTTTGCCGATAGGGCTGTGGACTCGCGTGACCCATGGCGGGTCGTCAATCGTGTGCCCTTGTCACGACGGCGCTGGTGTCAGTGTCATCGCCAAACCGCGACCTGTTCGCTCGCTCACGCTCTTACAATTGTCATCGCTGCACGTTGCCGATTGCGCGCAAAGATTCTCGCTCGCGCGTTTGCACAATCATCCCACCAGCAGCTAAATTGGGAGGCGGTCGAGAGATGTCGTATTTATTGTAGGGCCAATGCCGTTGATGTCACCGCACGATGACATCGCTTCCTTCAGCTGGAACCCGCCGCTGTTGAGAAGTCGACACTCGATCTGCCCACACCGGTGGCAAGCGGTCTTTGTGCAAGGCGGTCATCCTGCATCCAAGCACGAGGCACACTTAAACCCGCCTCCACCTCCCGCTCCGTGTCCAGGATCCGACACGGTTTTGGTCACACGCAGAACCGGCCTGGGTTGATTTCAGCCGGCTCTGTTAAGGTCGGCGACTGGCAAAAAAAAATTCCCGTACCCGACACACCACATCATGTGCACCTACCCAGCTGTGGGTACTGGTCACATGCCCACTTCAGTCTGCCAGCGGTCCGCCGTGATAAAAATGAGTAAGAAATGAAGCCCGAGTCACAACAACACAATATAACGCATTGTACTAAAAACATGACGCTCACCCAAACACCTTGATGAGTGTGTCCGTGTTGCTGGCGTCTCTCTCTCACTCTCTCTCTCTGCACCACCTCCGCCCCAACTCCCTCGCCCTCGCAGGGCGAGTGCTCTCAAAAGTGCCGCGACATCTTCGTCGTGGAGAGCGTGTGCGTGGCGTGGTTCTCGCTCGAGTTCGCGCTGCGCTTCGTGCAGGCGCGCAGCAAGTGCCGCTTCATGCGCACCCCGCTCAACGTTATCGACATGATCGCCATCCTGCCCTACTACGTCACGCTGCTCGTCGACTCTCTCTCGGACCCCAAGGACAAAGCGGCGGGCGGCGGCAGCTACCTGGAGAAGGTGGGCCTCGTGCTCAGGGTGCTGCGTGCGCTGCGCATCCTCTACGTGATGCGCCTGGCGCGTCACTCGCTCGGCCTCCAATCCCTGGGCCTCACCGTCCGCCGCTGCACGCGCGAGTTCGGCCTCCTCGTGCTCTTCCTGTGCGTGGCCATGGCCCTGTTCGCGCCGCTCGAGCACCTCGTCGAGAGCGAGATGGGCAACAGGGAGAGCTTCTCGAGCGTGCCGGCAACCTACTGGTGGGCCATCATCTCCATGACCACGGTGGGCTACGGGGACGTGGTGCCGCACAGCGTGCCCGGGCAGGTGGTGGCTCTGAGCAGCATCCTCAGCGGAATTCTGCTCATGGCCTTTCCCGTCACCTCCATCTTCCACACCTTCTCGCGCTCGTACGTCGAGCTCAAAGAGCAGCAGCAGCAGGCGACGAGGAGGGGAGGACGCAGGTTCCACGTGAAGGCGCGCGGTAGCGACAGCTCGTGATGATCCATGGGGGGTGGGGGGACTATTGACGACGATTTTGACGACACCTCCGAATGGCAGAACACCGATGACGCGTGAGTGTGGCCCCCTGCGTGGCTTATGGAGAAACGGAGGGCTGCTCCGAGGCACGGCCGAAAACCAAGGGTCGCGTGAGACGACTGAACCACGGTGGTCGCGTGAGTTTGGGAAGGGAGGGAAAGAAGGCTGAGCACGCAGGGTCCAGGGCGATAGCGGGACCCGTGACAAGCGATGACATGACAGAGATGGAGGAGGCATGGAGGAACTGAAACCTTATTTTTTGATACTGGCAAGGGGGGAGTCCCATGATGTAGCTGCTCGCCCCGAGCTCTCAATGCCCTGATAGTGGCGTCGTCTTTGTGCTGTTCGCCTTTTGGCGTCCTCTGGTCTAACGCAGTTTGAGACGAGGCTCTAAAGAAAGCTGTCTCTGGTGTGGGTCAATCAGTTTCAAAGACAATGCATCATCATATACTGTCAGAGCATGTGTTTTTTTGTTTGCATGTTCACCACAAGTATGTGTGGTTGATGCACACGTGATTCCTTGCAAAAGGTTTCAGTTTGGTGTTTTAACATCTTAACACGTGTTGCATTGCCAGAACGGGTAAAACCTATTCTTGTATTTTGATACTGGCAAGGGAGGTGCCGTGAGGCAAGGCGAAAATGAAGCCGGGATGGGTTGGAAGGCATCCAGGGGATGTCGTCATAGCCGGACCTGCAGGTCATGTCTGGGAATTGAAACTGATGACGACGAAGACGGCGGCGTGTTTAACCTGTTACATGCCTCGTTCACACGGACACGAACATCCAGAGACATTTTAGGGCACAGACCGTATTGAAATTCACGCGTAATTGGTGATCGTCGGCAGAGTATTGAAAACAGCCGCTTGTGGTGATGATGTCATCAACATTCGTTGTAGTTGTGAATAGAAGAGGCAGCTTTGATTTGATGACTGGATGTTTACGAAGGATGACGATACCTGCGCCGCTGTTTCTACCGCAGCAAACAACGCTGCTGCCTCTTGGCTTCTCCCTTGCAGCATGCAGCACGGTAACAGGTGTCCGTGCTCAAGAGAGCACTGCAGTGTTCGGAGCAAGGCTTTCAGAAGCAAAGATGTGACACTGCATTTGTTGTAATGCACAAACGCGCATGAAAAACACTCAACACTCTCGCCATTAACCCTGTGCCCGAAATAGGGAATATTGTGTCCCCTCGGCAGCGGCGTGCTCAATGGCCCTTCTACGTGGCAGAAAGATCTTTTCAAAAGCAAGACCTTTCTAACGGAGACCTGTGTTTAACATGTAGGCTTTCGCGAACAATATCATCCATAATACAAGTTTGTTTTGGGTTAGAAAGCGTAAATATATAAATGTGTTGTTAAATCTACCACCACCAGACACATCCAATTAGTAATGTGTGTTACGTAAACAGAACGTGGCCAATTCGTCACTAGTACAGCACTAACCGGTGTGTTGGAGAGCCAAGCCACAACATTCACAATCTGAGTACGACATTTCGCCAGTAATTACAACTAGCTTCATCAGGCGACGGCCAGGTTTGTGACAACCCTTACGAATTGGCTGTGTCGGGTGGTGGCGGGTTTAACGACACATGAATATATTTATGCGATATAACCCTAAAAAACAACCTGCATCATGCAGACACTGTGTGCTTTTTAAATTTCGATTTAAAACTTTCGTGACTGCAGGGATTCATATTCTTGTTTTTTTCGGTAAAGTCATGTAGAAGGGAAATAATAAAATAATAATAAATATCAAACAATAAAAATTCTCACGACGTTTCGACTGCAACACGAGCAATCATCATCAGGTGTAAAATCCACAGCAAGAAAATTTGAAATTTTCCACAGCAAGAAAACTTCAAATTTTCTTGCTGTGGATTTCACACCTGATGATGATTGCTTGTGTTGCAGTTGAAACGTCGTGAGAATTTTTATTGTTTATTATTTTTATTATTTCTCCTCTACGTGACTTTACCGAAAGAACCAAGAATACTGTGTGCTTTGCCAGCGGCCGACCGCTCACATTCAACAACACTCCGTTCGATCAAGTCGTTCGATCATCGATCGCAGAACCTTTGGCGGCTCGCAACTGTTAACCGGTTAAACACGAAACGGCGACGGAGGTCCCAGGCACGGCGAGAACTTGGGACACATGAAGCCTTCGCACGTGAAGCCCTTGGGAGCTGTACACCAAACCACGCGCGAGTTTCGTGGGATGGCGGTGAGTTTGGCACAAGGAGTTTTGTAACTCGGCACTTCTCGCCTTCAATAGAAGCGCTATTAGTGAATGCAGGGAGCGCACCGAGTGAATATGAACGCAAGGAGCCGAGTGCGAATCGTCAAATGTTGGAGGCAATGTCGTCTTGCTCGGCGTGTTCGCTGCGCACAATGCATGCAGGCATGCTGGTGGCGACGACGATTGATGATGATGATGATGGATTGCATGATAACGATGATAGATTGGAGGATGCTGATGATTGATTGGATGATGGTGATTATGATTGATTATATGATGATGATAATAATAATAACGATGCACGTAATAATAATAATACCTGCAGGCATGATAATGATGTTTCATTGAATCATTGATCATCATTGAATGACGACAATGGACATTGAACGATGGTGATTATTATGATAATACTATTTATGCAAAGCGAGATTTAGCTCGCGGAAGGCAAAGGAAAGTGATGGTAATTAGTGATGGGTTAACACGGAAGCTTTCATGACCAATATTATAGAGGCTTTAGGGTTATATCGCTTAAATATCTAAATGTGTCGTTAAACCCGCCACCACCCGACACAGGCAATCAGGTTGGTTTGTCACAGAACCTTACTAATTGGCTGTGTCGGATGGTGGCGGGTTTAACGACACATTTATATATTTACACGATCTAACACAAAAAACTGTATTATGGATGATATTGGTCGCGAAAGCCTACTACGCGTTAAACTGAACAAAACGTGTCAAATCGTTGCTAGTTCAGCACACCGGTGTGTTGGAGAGTAAACCCACAACATCTACAAACCCACAAGGTCTACAATTGTACACGTGGGTTCACTCTCCAATGCACAACCGGTGTGCCGAACTAGTAACGAGTTGACACGTTTTGTCTACGTGACCAACCCTCACTAATTGGCTGTGTCGGGTGGTGGCGGCTTTAACGACACATCGACTATCGATGCGCACACAAGATCTGGCTAAACCCAGGCACGCGACTTTGCGTTGAACTCGAAGCTTCGGCGGTGGCTGTTTGCGGTTCCGCCTGGGGAATGTACGGACAGCAAATGACATCGGGGTCGAGAGCGGACAATGTCGTCTCACCCCCCCCCCACTCTCCCACCCCGAGGCGTGACTCGCGCCAGTGAATAAAAAAAATGAAACTCAAAAAAGAAAGTTGCCTCTTGCCACTCCGAAACGAGAAACGATGGCGATGAGCTCCATCTAAGTGGCTCTCAACTGGGGGGTGGGGTGCGCGTGGCAATGTCCCGGGGGTAGGTCACGTGAGGTGGATTTAAAACGTGTGGAATATGGTGGCCATCATCCGGTGAATAATCGTGTTGTACGAATCTGCCGACATGAAATAACTACGATAACGTCAAATTTTGTAACCTATAACGATACGAATTACTTTTTTTTTTGGTAAAGTCACGTAGGTAATGCTGTTAACAGCAGCATTCCAAGTATTATAGTGAGTATAATGTTTAATTTTTTTATTTTTTTATTTTTTTATTTCCATTCTACGTGACTTTACCGAAAGAACCAAGAAGATGAATCCCTGCTGTCACGAAAGCTTTAAATCGAAATTGTAAATCGTTGTTTTGATAGTCAAAGGGTTATCCTGGACCTGGCCAGTCACCCTCCCCCGGCGCCCCCCCCCCCCCCCCGAACAAAAACGTGAATGATAAAATCCTCGTTAGACACAGGCACCTACAGCGTAGAAGGACGTCGTGTGGAATCGTTGTAGGTGCGTGCTTTCAAACGGGGATCACGACGCACACAACGCAGCTATTAAGCGGCTGCCCGACTTGTCACAACACGGATTCGCGTGTGTCACAATACGTCGGCCAAACACCGGCCACGCATTGGCATTAAACATTTAACAGCGAATCAGATCACTTTGCCAGATGCTGCACTATAGTGGTGTACCGTTCTATAGGCCTCCGATGACCCATCGGCAGTTAAGCGCGTGATGGACTTTGCTGACTACCTCTCATCACCAAATCGACGCTCCCTTGGGTAAGGAGGGCGGTGGCTCGCGGTGTTGGGTTAGTTCAGTGCCTTCGCTCGCGATGTGCTCCGCCTGGAGTTGTTTTTGAAGCCCAATGCCTCGCACTCCATGCCCGGACGATAAATAAACCAAAGCCTGTGTCGTCACTCCTGGCGTGCGCTCGCGTTAACTGCCTGCGAGCATCGTTCAACACCTGCTGCGTCAACGTGTCCGTGTGTCGGTGTGTGCCGACGACTGCGACGAATTCCGTGAACCGGTCCTGAGCCTCACCTAGGTCGACTCGGCCTTAAATTGGCACCCGCTGCGTTGTATTAAATATCAGCACTGCGGGGACAAAAGCGACCGGCCGTGGTGCTGGCCACCCACCTTCTCGAGTCCCATGTCGGCCTTAATAGGTGCTCGCTAACAGCACTTGCCCCAACAGTCTGTTAAGGCGACACGGGGGATCTTTGTCTCGCATTTATATAGGCCCTCACACGCCTCACTATCCGACCTAAATGCGTGTTGAGTTCACGTGTCATCATTATCAGTTATTTAAAATGTGCAAAAATCCTAATAGTTTAAATTATTTTCAAAACTATTGAATGTGCGGTCAACAATTATGCACATACCAATTAATTGATTTAATATCTTGTCGATATTTGAGGATATGTGAAATACATTTAAAAATTTTAAATTGACACATTAAAACAACAAAAATTAAACATAGCAACACATATGCCAAATTTTTACTGATTGGCCGTGTCGGGTGGTGGAGGGTTACGACACATTTATAAATAACGCGATCTAAACCCAAAAACGTTGATTATGACCATATGCCAAAACCAAACGTGCTGGTTTGGCCGGGACAGCCCTCGTTCAACACGACACAGATTATTTGCTGCGTAGGCAGCGGCGCACGAGGACAGACAAACGCAACTGAAACCAGTCGTCAATAACGCTGCCTTAACAGCAACATTATATAATGGGCAACATTTCGGATAATGGCCATTTATCATAGCAGCAGCAGCAACAGCAACAACAACAACAAAATACTTCTCGTTTTCAGATAACACTGCCCCGTGTCCCATTTCCAATACTCGGGATTTTCCCCGCTCACTTCAGCAACACGGTCCTGTGCCTTCTTCATTCTGGACGAGGGCCTTCACACGGCAGCTCAGTCATGGGGACCGTTTAACTTCACTTCACCACGCTGGTCAGTGCGTATTGGTGAAGTTAGGTGGTGGTGGTGGTGGTTGGGGAGGGGGGGAGACCAGGACCGGATCAGTTGCCGCTCGCCACTGATGGCAAACCGTGACCGGGACTTGAACTCAGGTGGCCAGATTAACAGCGCAGCGCGCAAAGGGGCCGCACCACCACCGCTGCCCCCATTGTGAGACCAGTGTCACCCAGCAGCATGTTTTAGAGAAACACAAAAACACATGGATAGATGTCGGCACCTCCGCTGAATCTCACCGACAGAGTGAAACAGATGAAGCGACACACTGCTGGGTTGCCCAGAGGGTGGTGATGCCCCCCCCCCGCTCCCCCACAATGGTAGCGCTATCCCCGCGTGTTGTAGAGGTTCGCGGTTGGAATCCAGCGGCCGCCATGATTAACACTGCGGGTGCATTTGAGCGTAAACAACAACAAATACTCTCGCGCCGTCTGCTTCACAGTGTGCGTGAAAAAATCCCGTGGCATGATTTGCAAGAGGAGGCCACTGTTTGCCGATGTGCACACAGCTGGGAAGATAAACAATAATCCGGCAAATGACTTACTCGATTGGAATATTCCACAGCGATCACTGACCCCCACCTTCCTATGAACACCTGGCAGGACACTCCTGAATCAGAGTCATAAAAATAATAATAATCGGACAGAGCGCTCATTCTAAAACGAACGGGGCCCTGTTCATAGGTGATGATAATTGAACATTACGCATACGTGTTCCCAGGGCACCAGTGGAGCCTCTTCTGTGAGCTATTGGGAATCTAGCGTCTCGTTTCGTGCGGCAGGAAAGCGGAGCACACAGAGAAATGCCCATCACGCGTACGAGGGCGATACACTGAGCACTGCCACCTTGCAGGCCACCCACACCTACAACACGTGGCAAGCCCTGGCAAACAATGGCGAGACAGTGCCGCAGAGGAGGATGTCTCTGGTGGAGGCCAATCCGTTTTAAAGACAAACCACGTGTGTTTGCCTGTTTTGTATTTGTGTGTTGAACTTCTTTCGCACCGTACGTAGCCAGCCTGTGCTAAGCGACAAGCATGTGTGGTTAATGCCAACTTGATGCCTTGCCAATCGGTGTGCCTATTTGGTGTGGGAACATCTTAACACCTCCTGGACTATTGCCGGAAAGGATAAAGCCTATTCCTTGTTCACCAAGATCTTTCACGTCAACCCGGAGACAAGAACCGAAGTTGACGTGCGCGTGTTATAAACGCGTTATAAACGTGTTATCGATGCGTTACAAACGTGTTATAAACGTGTTATGAACGTGT